TGTGTGTGTGTGTGTGTGTGTGTGTGTGTGTGTGTGTGTGTGTGTGTGTGTATGTATGTATGTGTGCACAATATATACGTGTATATATGAAAATACAAAATATATTGAAAAGACTCTCATGAATTTATGACCTCAGGTTTACATCCTATAAAAACATGACGCCGCTTTAAAATGTAAACTAAAATTGGTCCTGTGCAACAAACACATCAGGATGGAAGCATTCGTGGCTGCACTCGAGAAAAAATTCCTCGCCCGCGACCTTGAATCTCGGATGCGTGGGCTTCGTCTTTCTCTGCCTGTTCTTGATCACGGAGGTTAATCACAGCTTGCATACGTTCTTCACGTTCGGCGTCGCGGGCGAGGACTTTATTCTCGAGTGCAGTCACGAATGCTTCCATTCTATCAGTTCATGTATATCAAACATAAAAGCAAAAATAAACTAAAATATGCAGAAGACGACTCATGCATACATTAGCACACATCTAAATAAACGTAAAGAGCGTATTCACATTGATTTGTGTAAAGGTCGAGCTACAAAAAACTCTACAATATATATTAACCTACCTTGCCTTTGTGAGTCAGCAGATTCATTCCCCACAATCCATAGAATGAGAATGCGTACATTCCAAACATAATCCCGGCCGGAGCCGTAGCCTGATACCACATGGCTTATGCTTTCTGTTTAATTTTTATGTGTAAGTAAATATATATCTCTGTGTGTGTATAGTGTGTGGAAGTGAGCTATTGTTAAGACGTGAGTGTAGCTGTCGTCTGATAAACACTCTCAGCCGAGCACTATAAACTACAATATTTTTTAGAAACATATTTATTTTACTGACTGGTGGGGTAAAAGGGGATCTGTTGCTGGTTTTGGAACTGCTTAGGAAATATTCTGAAAGTGCAATGAACCATGTTTTTTTCCTGTTCAAACTATATTTATGCAATCCAAAAACCCTACTCGGTGTTCCATGGATACAATTTATACAACTTGCGTGCAAATTGACCATACTTCCTGCACTCGACTCGATAGATTTAAAGTAAAGGTATGTATACACGCGTATTTGTATATTTACATTTCTATGTGAACACTTCTCGTATTCGAACAGAGTAATAAGATGGCTAGCAAGAAGCGGATACTGTATGTGGGGGGTTTATCTGAGGAAGTTACTGAAGAGGTCTTGCAGGCAGCCTTCATACCTTTCGGAGAAATATCTGACATTAACATGCCGATCGATTACAAAACGGGCACGCACAGGGGCTTCTCTTTCCTTGAGTTTGAGTTACAAGAGGACTCCAATGCTGCTGTAGATAATATGCATGAAGCTGAATTGTATGGGCGTACTATTACAGTTAACCATGCCAAAGATAAGCAGTTGAACGAACGGTCCATGAAGCCCGTCTGGAGTGAGGAGAGCTGGCTGCAGAAACACGGCGAGAACGCGACTGAGGTCGACGACGGACAAGGTATGAAACGGTTCTTTGCTTGTGGTATATATATATATATATATATATATATATGTGTGTGTGTGTGTA